GTTTCTAAGGGTGAAGACCCAGCGTCACTGAATCTCCAGGCATTCACCTCAGTGCTGACATTGTTTCACCCAAACATCCTCCATCAGAAGAGAGGTTTTACATGTTCCTCCCCTTTTGATACTTCATCATATTCTTGGAAAAGGAACAATTCTGTTTTTCTACCATTTTACTTATGCTCATGATTCTTATATTAGTCTAATTACATTGTTTAGGCTAAGGTGAAATTCTATGAATTGAATTTCTAGATTCCAGAATTTATATGGATTGTACAATAAGCCTTTTTGGCAGAAAGCCACACCTCTGGTTGAAAACATTTTCTGGAACAATGACTGAGTGTGGCAGATCCTGGCTGGCAGGACCCGTGTATGGTGTGGCTGCTAGAGAACAAATAGACACAGACAACAGAAGTTCTATGAAGAAAGAGGCATGGCATGGTCACTCTCTGAGAGAGAGAGGGCAAGAGGGCCAGAGAGCCCCAGTGCCTGCCTGGACAAGCTTTTATTGCCTTTCTGGGTACATTACATGGAAGGTAGTCCTCATTTACTATGCACAGGTTCACTGCAGGGGACTACTTTTAAAGATAACAAAGGCAAGAATGCTGCTAATTACTTCAAAGAGAAGGATGTTGCAGATCACTCTCCATACTTGGGAGGTATACCTCAGATTTTAGGAAGTTGCAGTAAGCACTTGCTGCCTCAATTCGGGATGAGGGAGTTTTAGCAAAAGCAAGTCTCATAGCGGTGCAGGTACAATGCAGGCCTGATTCCCCATGGGAAAGCCTCTCCATGGGCATGGTCCTCTGGGCCACTTGCTCCCCAATGATTTTCCATGTGAGTGCTGATCTACATTTCCACGCCATGCCAAGTGGTTCCCTACAGTTGAGTAGTTAAGACCAGCTGCCAATGAAACCACAGTGCTCCTAATTGTCAGATTACAGTGTAAACCTTCTCATCAAATTAAAATTTCTTCATGAACAGAACCAGGTCTCCTTTCTTTTCTATATTTTCTATAGCACCTATGACAGCGCTGTTGCCTGAGTACCATTTGGTGAGTGGTAGTTGGAAAAAGATCATTCTTTCTGTCTCAAAGAAAACACCTCCAATAACATAATTTGCAGAATCATTCAAAATTATGCTAAATGATATTCATACTGATATTTAAAATGTTGACTTCTCTCTGGCATGTTTAAAATGCATTTCAATTTTAAACATTAGAATGGTGTAGAAGACAAATAGTTCACAAGGGGATGCAATCCTCAAGATACTGAACTCTAAACCAAGGTGACTCCCTCTTCAAGGGACTTAATGGTGCCCCTTGCCAGGAAAGCAGCCACCTGGGGGCTTCTGGTCAAGATGGTTATGTAGGCAGATATGGCTTGCCTCTTCACACAACCACATCAAAATTACCATTAAAATATAGAACAACTGTCAGTCACAAACTATACAGGACCATTCCAAGTGGTGTGGGGAATGCAGCCCAGCCCCTACTTGGAAAGGCCAGTGGGGAGCGAGGTTGGCACACAGGACACACACTCATGGATAGGTTTTCTCATGGGGAATCAGGCCTGCATTGTACCTAGGCTGCTATGAGGCTTGCTTTTGCTAAAGCTCCCTCACCCTGGACTGAGGCAACAAATGTTTACTGCATATCTTTAACTTCCTAAAGTCTGTGCTAAACCTCCCAAGTATGAAATATAATCAGTTCAACCACTTTTCCCCTTGACCTGCAACATCCTTCTCTTTGAAGTAATTAGCAACACTCTTTCCTTTGTTATCTGTAAAGGGTAATCATCTACAGCGAACCTGTGCCTAGTAAAAGAGGACCATCCTCGATATAATGTACCCAGAAAAGCAATAAAAGCTTGTCCAGGCAGGGGTCAGGGCCTTCTCTCTCACTTAGAGAGTGGCCATGCCATCCCTTTTTCTCCCCAGGATTTCTGTAGTCTGTGTGAATTTGTTCATCCCAGACACAAAACATGGATCCCGGGGGCTGGGGTCCACATCAAGAAACATCAGAAATCAAGTTGAATGGAAGTGTGACAGCTACAGAATTGAAGAAACCACATCTATCCAGACTGTAGGAAAGGTGTGGATATGGAATGGGCAGGCCCCACATCCACATGGATACACTTCAGGAGGAGGATCTTTGGATGCTGAGTCCCAGACCCACACCAGGTCCCCAGTCCAGTATTTCAGTGCTAGGAAGGTAAGTCCCCACAACTTCTGGCTGCAAAAACCAGCAGGGAATGAGTTGGGGCAAGAGGCTGCTGGAGCCCTAAGCAGTTCTGTTTGGGGAAGACGCACATGGACTCACCTACTGAGATTCACTCCCTCTGAGCTCCAGCACCTGGGTGGCAGCTTGAAGAGCATCAGTGGTATACAGGGAGAGACTGAAGTGTCTGGCATTGGGGTGAGTAGAGGCCACTATCCGTTTGCTGAGCCCTCCTTCAAATAGAGCTGGTGGGCTAGTGCTGTATCTGTGACTCCATCAACCTGTCTAATACTGTGTGATCCACCTTGGAGAAACACAGAGACTATCCCACCCAACTTATGAGCCCACCCAGGCTGCTTTTCCATAAGAATTGCTCATCTTGGCTTCTAAATCATTTAAAAAAAACAACAGAGAGTTTCAGTGAGCCTTAGGGAGCTAGAATAGAGTTACAGCTTGTCTTCACCTAGGAATCTCCAAGCCCTGCACAAATAGCAGACATCTCAGATTGCTTTACAGCTCAGGCAGGGTGCCCCTGGCAAAACACAGGTGGGGCCTGACCTTGGCCTGCACCACCTGGGAAACCCCAGGGCCAGTACACCCAGTGGATAGCTACAGACCATGGCAGAGCACCACCACCCTGTCCCTGCACAGCTGATCCTCTACAGAGGGTGGAGGTTGGTGGTCAGTGGGCACAGTTAGTCCTTGAAGCTGACTGGCCTGGAGAAATCCCTCCATTGATCTGCCAACAGCAATCAAGGCTCAACTACAAGAGGAGGGTGTACTCAGCCCACACAAAGGGGGCACCTTGAGTACACAGCTTGGGTGATAGGGGAGGCTGTGCCACTGGACCCTACAGGGCACCTACTGCATTAGTCCACACTACCAAGACATGGAGTCAAGTAACTCTTCCTAATACATAGAAATAAACATGGGGAGCCTGCAAAAAGGAGACAAAGAAATATGACCAACATGAAGAACCAGGTCAACACTCCAGGAAAAGAGCTAAACAAAATAGAGATAAACAATCCATCAGATGTAGAGTTGAAAACACTAATTATAAGGATGCTCAAGGAATCCAGGGAGGACCTAAGCAGCAGAAAAAAGATCCAGTTAAAGATGAAGGACACACTAATTGAAATAAAGAACAATTTACAGGGAAACAACAGTAGAGTGGATGAAGCCAATAATCAAATCAATGACTTGGAAGCAAAAAGCAACCAATGAGAACAAGAAGAAGAAAAAACAATCCAAAAAAGTGAGGATAGTATATACAGCCTCTGAGACAACTTTTTTTTTACTCATTTATTTTTATTTGTTTGTTTGTTTATTTATTTATGTTCAAGTACAGTTGTCTTCATTTCCCCCCTGAACCACCCTCCCCCTCCCCACCGACCCCACCTTCCACCCTTAATCCTACCCCTGTCTCACTTTGTTCATGTCTTTTACACATGTTCCTTGACAACCCTTCTCCCTTTTTCTCACATTATATGCCTCCCTCCCTCTCTGGTTACTGTCAGTTTGTTCTTTATGTCAATATCTCTGGTTACGATTTGCTTCTTTGTTTTTTTGATTAGGTACCACTTATAGGTGAGATCGTGAGATATTTGTCTTTCACCACCTGGCTTGTTTCACTTAGTATAATGGTCTCCAGTTCCATCCATGCTGTTGCAAAGGGTAGGAGCTTCTTCTTTCTTTCTGATGCATAGTATTTCATTGTGTAAAAGTACCATCGTTTCTTGATCCATTCATTTACTCATGGGCATGTAGATTGCTTCCAACATTTGGCTATTGTTAATTGTGCTACTATGAACATTGGAGTGCATAGGTTCTTTTGAATTGGTGTTTCAGGATTCTTAGGGTACAATCTCAGCAGCTGAAGAAATTCCATACTGTTTTCCACAGTAGCTGCACCAGTCTACATTCCCACCAACTGTACTAGGGTTCCCTTTTCTCCACAACTTTGCAAGTATTTGTTGTTTGTTAATTTGGTTATGATGGCCATTCTGATTGGTGTGAAGTGGTATCTATTGTGGTTTTAATTTGCATCTCTCTGATGACTAGTGATGCTGAGTATCCTTTTGTATGTCTCTGGGCCCTCTGCATGTCCTCCTTGGAGAAATGTCTGTTCAAGTCCTGTGCTCATTTTTAAATTGGGTTGTTTGTATTCCTGGAGTGGAGTCATGTGAGTTCTTTATATATTGTGGTGACCATACCCTTGTATGAGATATTATTGGCAAATATATTTTCCATATGGTTGGTTCTGTTTTCATTTTGCTGGTGTTTTCTTTAGCTGTGCAGAAGTGAGGCAACTTTAAGAGGTCCAACATTTGCCTCAATAGGGGTGCCCAAAGGAGAAGAGAAAGAGCAAGAAGTTGGAAATCTATGTGCAAACAGGTGAAAGAAAGCTTCCCTAATTTGGTGAAGGAAATAGACACGCAAGTCCAGGAAGCACAGAGAGCCCCAATTATGATGGATACAAAGAGGCCCATTCCAAGACACATCATTATTCAAAGGCCAAAGGTTAAAGATGAAGAGAGACTCTTAAAAGCAAGTTACCAGAAGGCTGCCATATTGGAGGGGGGTAGGGGTGAAGAGGTGAGGGGACTAAGAAGTACAAATGGGCAGTTACAGAATAGTCATGGGTATGTAAAGTACAGTATAGCAATGGGGTAGCTGAAGAACTTATATACATGACTCATAGACATGAATAATGGTGGGGTGATTGCCTGAGGGAGTAGGGGGCACTGAATGGAGGGGGGCAAAAGGGAAGAAATCAGGACAACAGTAATAGCATAATCAACAAAATATAATTAAAAAAAGAACACCCCACAACACACAAGCAATTAAGAAAGCATTTAGTACACAGAAATCTATGTAACCAGGCCAGAATGAGGACTCTAACCACAATCCCATGCTGAGGAACTCTCTCATCTCAAATTCTTGCTTCTAGCTGAGTGTTGTCTATTGACTAATTCCTACAGAATCCCAGAGTGGTTCAAAGAACCCAGATGGTGGGACAGAGGGCTTGTCATCCTGCACACCAGGGACTTATCCAGTTTCAGGCTCATCAGCCTGCCAGTAACTCATTTCCTTTCACCAGCTAAACATTTCAGATGACTGATGCTTTGAGAGGGAGAGAACAGGGAGAATTCCCAAAACAAAGAACTGTTAGCAGTTGCTGGGAAATTCCTGCAATCCCTGCCACAAGCAGCTGTGAACCTAGCCTGGGCCCCTCTGGGCCTTATCAGGGTACAAGTTGTCCCAGCAAAGTAGCCCCAAACTGTAACTGAACACAGGTCAGGAAGAAGTGACTCTGAGGGAGAAAGGTGACAAAGTGGATAAGGAGGTACAATCAAGTTGGGCTGCTGTGTATTGGGATGGGGTAACCTGAGTGGAGCTTTGCTCTTACCAGTTGAGAACAACATTGGTAGAAATGATTCAGCACCAATGGGTTTAATTCTAGGATTACTGATTCACTGAGGCCAAAGGGTGGCCTACTAATGGGGGAAATATTACTAGAGTGGATATGTGAATTCCATGGACAATATGGTGGCCAGGAAGGGAATTAAGGATGTATCTGGAGAATGTTCCTTTGCCATCTACCCATTCATAAGTCCTGACTGCATACCCCACCATAAGCAAGGCAATATGCAAAGCCCTGGAAGTAAACTGATGATGAGATCAGACATGGTTCCTGTTCATAGGTAGATAACCATCTAGTAGGGACAGACCATCAATAAAGTAGGAGGGACAATGCCATGTGCTGAGTGCTCTGATGGGGTGGGAGACACAGGGTGCTACAGGAGCATAGGACAGTGGTACCTAAGCCAGCTGTAAGGACATGGAATTACTTTCCATAAGAGGAAACAGCTAAACTAAGACCTGGACCCCTTTGTGACTTTGGCCCCAAACCTCACCCTTCTCCTGGCTCTAGGACTATAGTAGGCTTCACGAATAGAAAAGTACAATGTGGATGAATGGAAAAACCCAGCTCCACATGGACAGATAAAAAATAAATCTATTTGCCCCTTGTTTAGGAGCCATTCAAAACTCCCAAGGTGTTCATTTCCATTGCTTATCTTCAGCCAGAGGTGGCCAACCCCATGTTCCTGGTACTCCCCCTTATACCTGGATGGCACAGTTATGGCTCTAGACTTGGTTGTGGTGGCATCACATGAAGCTTTTGGATAGGTTACTACAAACCTGCAGATGTCCTGTCACCTCCACATGCACATCACTACGAGGCTGTTATCCCACCTGGACAGCTGGCTTGTGGAAGCCAAGGGAGGCAGTCTGGGTGCCCATTGACATCTCTGGGCATGGACATGTAATGCCCAGCAAAGGCATGACCAAAATTTTTTAGCATCAGAAATAGAAGGCAAGTCAGATGGCAACTTACTGAGAGAGAAAAAAAACTGAGACCCAAACTGGAGAGGCAGAACCAGGACTCACAAGCCTGTGTTCAACTTCAGCAGCTGAGCTTGTTGAGAGCCCCCCTAGTTTCTACCACCCCACTTCTCCAAGAGTTCCACAGTGAGGTGAAGATGGGTATCCTTCAGGGCTTGGTAGAGTTGATCTTTGCAGGCCCTGTCCCAGGACTTGCTGAAGCTGAACAGCATCCTCATCTTGTCTGGATTGGTGGGCTCAGCCCGCACCCTCTCACACTGCTCCTCACTCAGCACCTGTCCATACAGCTTGTCCAGGACTCGGTCCACCGATGTCACTCTGGCCACCAGCTCTTCCCGATGCCGGTCCACAAAGTGCGGCAAAACTGGGGCATTTGGGGGTAAAGGTGAGGCAGACAACAAATGAAGAAGAGCTTCCATCACATCCTCTCCCTGTGATTCTCCACCTCTATCTCTTCACTCCCCTTGTCTGCATCCCTGGCTCCTCTCTACCCACCCACCCATTAAGGCATGGACCACTAGAAAGCCACCTCTTTCCTCCCTCATGTCAGCTTCCAGCCTAGCATTCTGCTCAGCTAAGAGTGGGGTTGGGTTCATGATAGAGGCATATAGGTATTTCTGTGGAAGGTGTTGGGGCCACAATAAGCAGGAATAGGGGGATGGAAAAGGACTCTGCTCTGAGGCACATGCCACTCTCCAATGCCTGATTCCTTGTAAAATCTGCATGAAAATGTTTCTTCCATTCTTTCCTTCCTCTTTGCCAGGAACAGATAGCACACCCCAGAACTGCCATGTTTTCTGTGGTCTCCAACAGCTGCTACTGACCTGTATGGCGTGTAGGGACCAGAGTAGCTTCAGGTCTGAGGTCTCCTGGAGGAAAACCGACATGAAGAAGCTTTTGTAGCAGTGGTAGTTATTAACACAAATGAGAAGCCTTGAAACTGCAACACATGTCTCACTTCTGAGATCCTTGGGTTCTTAGAACAAACTTGAAGACTATTCTAATAAAATTTAGAGAAAAAGTTGTAGTTGAATCCACTTCTCATGCATGTGGGGATACTGAATCCCAGATGCTATGAAGCTATGGTCATAGATGTGTGTGTGTTGTGTGTGTGTGCGTGAGGAAGAGAAAGTGGGGAGGGAGGGAGGGAGGAGGAGAGAGAGAGAGAGAGAGAGAGAGAGAGAGAGAGAGAGAGAGAGAGAGAGAGAGAGAGAAATTATTTCACTTGAACACTGTAGACATGGTTAAATTCAGTCTTGGCCTAAATGGAACCCTGGTGGAGAAGTAACCAAGTTCTTGGTAGATAGTTTCAACTATGAGATCTCCTTTTCTTAGAGGAAGTCTACCTCCTTGTTCATACTTGATCTTCACATTGTTTGTTCTGGATTTTGTGTCAGAATCAAGAATCGACATCAAGAAAATCTTACCACTTGGGTGTAATGGGTGAATTTCACTGGGAAAAATAAACAAAAAAACAATAACAAATGAAGGTGTCAAACAAAAACTTGCATAAGAAGAGGAAGGGGGAGGCCACAGCAGTTCATATGGACATGGCCTGAGAGTTTAGGCCCACCCAAGTCCAGTGTGAGCAGACAGCCTGGGGGGTGAGCTCAAGCACAGGGGTGCTCTGGCTGTGGTGTTGGGAGCACCAGGTTTGTGTGAATGGAGGGAGGAGTTCCACGTCCTCCATGCTGACTGGATGGTCTTAAGGTCCTTCCTGAATCTGTCCTTCCTGACTCATCCTTCAGTCCATCTACTGAAGAATGCCACTGAAAAGGCAAAGAAGGTAAAACCCAAAATATAAAAGAAATGATGAAAACACTAGAGATGTTCAACTTGCAAAGGAGGAGACTGAAGAGAGGCCATGTTCACAGTCTTTGAGTATCTGGGGGGGGCTTTCCCATGGGGATGGAGACAGAGCCCTCTGTCTCTGGAGGGAGAAGATGGTTTAATAAGAGGAAAAATAACAGTACCATTACTATATACAAGGACTACTTCATGAGATATATGCATAATCATATTATTTAATCTTTCCTGCAGTCAAACCACTAGGCATTGTGATCTTATTTTATAAATAAGAAACCTGAGTCTCAAAGTTAAGAAACTTTCCCAAGATCACCCGCAAGTAAGTGCCAGAGTGAGATTCAACCAAGGTCTGATGCCAGGGCTGGTTAGGCCTCCACCTGTGATTGTTCCCAAGCTGAGACTGAGGAAACCCATTCTCTTTCTTCACAATGGGAAGACTGTTGTAGCAACTCAGGAGGCAGATCCACCTTGTTTGAACAGTGGAAAAGGGCTAGTTGTCTTCAAAAGACTCTTTAGAGGAATTTGGTTGTTGGGGTTATTGGTGCTAGTTTAAGAGACTAACGTTTCATCCATTCCTGAAAATTCATTATTGGATTCCCTCTTATCTATGTTGGAAATATCTGAATGATCCAGGTTAGATCATCTGCTATTGCCAAAACTAGCTAATTTATATAATCATATAATCATCTAGTTTTTATTCTTCATCTCACATCCCATCTGTCATGAAAAACTTTCTCAAAGGCCTTGTGTCAAAATCTGTTAATACAGGGCAGTGTGGAAGCTCCATGGGACATGGAAGACAGAATGGAGGTTAGAGTCAGAATAACTTGAGGTCTGATTAGTAACTCGGAAAATTCAAATAACTTCTCTGGACTATATGTTCTTATCAGCAAATTGTCTTAATGTAGACACACATACATACACACTCACTCTAACTTTTTGAGCTCTTGAACATTTCCTGACTTTACCTGATTTCACCACAGCCTTCCATACCAAAGTCCCATCTTTCTTGTCTCTCATGAACAGCATGATCTCTAATCTCAAATGGCCAACGTAGAACTCAGAGAAGAGCTGGGCTTCCCCAGGGCTCCGATAGCAGAGCTCCAGTTCCTGTAGGAGAAGATATCATGTGAGAAGCCACCATTCATCCTGCAAGTGAAGTCTCTCCCCACCTGACACCTTCTTGGTCCTGCTCAGCCTCATGGGCACCCTTGGAGGATCTGTACTGAAATTAGTTGCCACAGGCTCTGCTCTTTTCCATATTTTCTACAAATTCTGACCCAGAGGAAAGAGGACACAGCTGAGTGCCCCATGGATGAGTCAGGACTCAACCAGATCCTTTTTCCTCCACCTCCCCCAGCATGACCCCCAATCCTCATTTCTCCAGTCCACAGCCTGTCTTCTCAATGGATCCTGAGCTTGACCCACTTTGAACCAAGACAAAACTTATATCCTTGCCCCTTTCTAAATCCCATTCAAGACAGACTTGATTCCCAACTGTCTTCCACACATGCCCCCTCCCCAGTTTCCCACACTCATTAAATGACACTACCAGCCACTGAGCACTCATGTTCCGGATTTGGGCATCCTCCCTAACTCCTACCTTTCTCTCCCATACACCAAGTCCTGTTGGCTTTACTTCCTACCTGTCCCTGAATCCATCAACTTACCTTCATCTGCACTGCTGCCTCCCTAGTCAAGCCTCCATCAGCTCCTGCTTGCACTATTTCATTAGCCTTTTGACATGTCTGTTGTTCTCACTCTTAACTGCTTATCATCCATTCTTACCCAGCAGCCAGAGGCATGCTTCTATGAAGCTAAATCAGGTCTTATAATCCCAAGTAAGACCTTCTGGGACATTGTCACTACACTTGGAACAAAATCCAAACTTCACACCAATGCAACATGGTTGATGGGTCCTAGGAAACCTCTGTCTCTTGTGAGACCCCATCTACCTCCTGTCTTTCATTACAGTCTTTAAGCTCTGCCACATTAGCCTTCATTCTGTCACTTGGATGTATCAAGTGTACTGGCTCTTCTATGCTTCTGTACCTGTAGCACTTTGACACAAATGTTCACCTACCAGAATCCTTCTTGCCACTCAGGTCTCAGTCCAGATGTCACCTCTTCAGAGATGACCTGGTGTAAACTACCCTAAGTTATTCTTTCAAAGAGCCTGGTTGTGTTTTACTCACAGCACTTCATCATCTTTGGTCATAATTTTCTTTATTTATATAGTTCGCATACCACCAAATGTCATCTTACCAAGAAATGGCCTTGTCTTGTTCAATGCCTGCCTCAGTTGAAGACAGCATGGTTGGCAGTAGTTAAATTTTTGTTGAATGACTGAACCATGTCTCTCATTTCTTGTTAACAATGACAGCAAGAAAATATAAGATATTCATCCTTGGGTACATGTTTCCCAACTGAAAAGTATGTATCACTTCTTTCTCACTGCTGGGTATTGATTCTGTCTCTTTGTCACCTAAGTGCTCCAAAATTCACCTGAGACAGAAGGAAAAAGAAAGATCGACCCTGGCTTAACTACAGAGTACTGTTCAGTGGGCACTTAGAGCCTAAGGAGCAAAAATCAAGACAATGGTGAAAACTTGGACATCATGGATGAATGTCCAGTGGCTTGAAGTCATTCCCTTTTGACTCAAGGGGGAGACTGAGAGAGGAAAAAAGCCAGTGCCCGATGTCCAGAAAGGACAGAAAGCTCACAGCTCAACCTCAGTGTTATTATCTTTATTTTTAAGATGTCTTTATTTTTTCTGTGTCTGCTCTTTCTAGATAGAAAATTTGTTGAGGTTTCCAATGAGAAAATTGCCTTGCCTACTGACAATACCCAATGTATAGTAAATCTCCATTTTTTTAGATCTTCACCAAATTACCCAGTTAAGACCCAGATCCTTCCTGTAATGGGTTCTTTCTGAGATCCTTGTCCTGAGAGGCCCATGGTTCCCATTGGTGTGTGTTTTCTCTGCTACAAGTTCTGACCCCAGTGTGTTCAGCCACAGGTGTGTTCCTGGTGGTTTTACTTGGAGAACGTCGACATCCTGTAGCCCCACTCTTCTCAGTTCCCCTAAGTCAAACCCCATTGTTGTCCCTATGCTGACTGTGGCCTGCCTTCTTACAATCTTTCTTTTCCCTGAACCTTTGAGGCATTCCTGCTCACCCCAAATACCACTTATTGCCTGCCCCACAGCTACTCCCAAGTATGTACTCTGACTGCAGGGAGGGGAGAATATCTGGGCTGCTCACCTCAGGGATTATTTCCATCTCCTGTGAACCAGACACAGTGTATCGGGAACCAAAGTAAAGTGGGGTCAGTGGGGGTGGCTTGTGTAGTCGCACAAACTGGAATGTCTTTTCTTCATCATCTATGGCCTAAGGAGCACACAGGACACTGATCAGGGGAGGAGGGCATCTGGATCTGGCTCAGAGATTCTGCCCTATGGATCTAGTCTGAGCAAAGTGAGGTGGTACTTTGCACGTTTATGTGAGTGGTGGGCCTCTACCACCCCAACATGACTCCATGAGCGCTACAGAGAGAGTCCCACACTTGGCCTTTTTTATGTTCAGGGTGGAAATAGGGGAACTACTAGGGAAGAAGTGAGAATCAGTGGGTACAGCTCTGGGTATGGATCCCTCCCATCCTTCTAACTCCTGGAAGGAGTGTGCAAAAGGTTGTCCAGTGATGAGTGATGAGTCCAGTGAGTCAGGAAGCAGTGAACCTGGCTGGGGGAGGTCTTAGGGACCCAGAACAACAGCGTATGACTGAACAGGGGCAGGATTCCTCATCTCCTTCAAGGTACCTGCTTGTAAGAGCCCAATCCTTATGCCCAGCTGACCCATCAAGGGGGGCTGTGTGGGTGCCTGTCATGCCTCTGTCAGCCCACCCTGGCCCGGACTTTTTGGTTTGGTGCCACCTTGCGAATGGAGCAGTCATTGGGAATCAGGTAGAGATGGAAGGTGACTTCCTTGTGCTGGAGGTGATGGTAGAGCAGCACATTGCAGGTGATGGGAATGTGCAGGACAGCGTGAATCTTTCTCAGTAGAACTCCGATGGGGGAGAAGCTGGGGTTCTCCAGGACTGCATAGTGGGGTTCCACCCTGGCTGGCTTCTCCAGGACTATCCCCTCTTCTTTCATGTGGGCCACTTGGAACCAGGATTTGTCCACATTTTTTCCTGTGAAAGAATGGATTTGAGGGGTGAGGATTTAGGGCCTTCACTGAGTCAGGATTGACTGGGGCAGTGGGATACCCAGGTGTAGCCTCAGTGGCTTTTTCCAGGGACCTATCAGGGAGGGCAGCATGTCTGCGCCTGGGGTCTTTAGGGCCTGTAGTCAACAGGTTCTGTACAGTTGGAGCCCTGCAGGAATCCCCTCAAGCTAACTCTGTACACAGCCTCTGGCCCTGGAGCTGGGAAAGGTGTTGATCCCATGGTTCCCTATGTTGGGGTGGATTCTGTATCTGTAAAGAATGTTGGTAGGTGTGACTATAGAAGATAGATAACAAGGCGGAGGAAGGGACAGTGGAAAATGGAGTGCCCAGGGGTAGTGTACATTTGTGGAGTGTTTGTCACCCACCATTGAGATTCTTCTTTTGGAGAAGAACCTCATCCACCATCATTGTGTGGGTCTTAGCAAAATATAAGCTTGGCCTCCCACTCAGGAAGCTGCACACCCTGGAGGTGATGACACAGGCTTGTGACCAAGAACTGACCAATTGTATGCTTTTTAGTTGGATTTTGATCTGCAGGTGGTGATGCACCAATGAAAGAACAGAGATTCTTTCAGCAGCCAAAGTGGGGCCAAGAGTCCAGCAGCCACCGTGTTGGGAGGTCCTGCAGTGGCTGTGTCTGCAGCAGAGGTCTCTCCATTTTTTAGTTCTTCTGACCTTGCTGTGCTCTTGGTTCCTCAGTATTCCTTTTAAGACTTCTTACCTAGTCTATAGCTGCTCAATAATCTTTTTATACATTCATTTGGTGCCTAAATCATCCAGTACTTGTTCCTTTGACTGCAACCAAGATCTCTGACCAGTGCACCAGGTGCAAATGTTGATACCACAAGAGAGAGCTCGAGGGATGAAGGCTGGTAGTGGGACAGTCACTGGCCCAGGTGGCAGGGGTCTGGGCTCCATCCCTGCATTGCCTGGCAACTGTTGCAACGCAAGAGGTTTCTGGGCAACTAAGGGACATCCAGAAAGGCTGAAAATGTCCTTAGATGATATGGACACCTATCAGCACATGGCTGATTTAATTGCAGGAGGGGAAATGGAGACCACTACTCAAGTTTCATATTAATGGCTTTTTTTTGTGTGAAAAATAATACCAAAGTGGTGTACACCACCTGATGAAATGCAGAAGCATTTACCTCTCATCTCTCCAAGCAGTGCAACTATCATTACCATCTTTCCCTGTTTCATTATTCTTTCTCTGCAGCAGCACATCTTCATGTCTCCATTACAGCAAGGAGCTTTGTCTCTGGTCTTCCCCATGTTGGTTTGAAATGTCACAAGCCCCTGCAGACCTGTCTAAGGCCTGTAGCCCATGATCCCTGCTAGCGATGCAGCATCCCTGGTTCACTGCTCCCTTCTTGTTTCAGTGGTGAAGTTGCTTCCACCTTTTCGCCATGATAAACAGTCTCATGATGTACATGTTTCTGCAGAGAATCTATTTCACTTGGGTTAGCACCTTGGAATTGATAAGTCCCAGGGAAGCAAAAAGTGTGTGAGAGGATATGACTTTTCAATGACTTCCCATGTTTTGCCAAATTGCTTCTCTAAGAGGTGGTGTACTTGGCACTGCCATGGTGACACTCAGTGGACGAAGTCACCAGATCTCCACCGAACAGGAATGTCCTCAGGTGTCAGATAGGGAGACTGAAACCTGTGGGGTTGTGTACTTTTCCCAAGGTCATGAGCCAGCCAGAGCCCTAGGGTGAGAGCCCTGCACTATGACCACAGTCCTCGAGGCCCATGCAGGCACTCTGTGCCTCGCTACTGTTGGCTGAATTCTGGAAGGTGCTGTGTGTGCATCCACCTGGCTCTCTTGCTGTGATGACCAACTTCATGGCTTGCCTGGGACCGAGAGGGTTAAGAACTTTATGTTGGAGCTCACCAAAGAAGTTTAAAAAAGTCAGCCAGTGCCCAGTTCCTAAAGGAGGCCACTGTTAGGCCCCGAGGTCTTCATTTCCAGGAAAACAGCAGCTTTGGTCCAGACAGCAGGCCACAGGGAAACCTCGAAAGGACTTGGTTTTCTGGGTGGGCCTGGCTCAGCAAGCTGCAGTGAGACTGTGCATTTTTGTGCAGTATCCCAAGAAAACAAGCCCTGTCTGGTTACAGGGTGAGATCCAGAACATGGCCAAGAGAAAGTTGGAGGACATGGGCTTGGGCAGCCCTGGATGGGTGTGGGTGGAGCTGTTTTTCCTGGTGGTCATATACCTGGATTAGAATCCCAACTCTGGTCCAGTATCTTCACCTCTTTGAGCTTCAATTTCCTCATAGGTATAATGTGGGAAACCATAGCACCTAACTCACTATGTCATTATAAAAATCTAGGTCATATGACTATATTTGGAACTACCTTGTTGTCCAGAGTTGTAATCATGAACCATGTCTGAGGGCTCTCAAAGAAACTGCCATTACCTGGTGAATTTACTCCTGTCCTGATGTGGCCTTCAGGACACATCTCAAAAGCTTAGGCTAGATTCCTTGTGTTGGATAGTTTCCTCTTCCTTGGGCAAATCTCATTTCTCAGACCAAGAAGGTGGTACAGGACTGACCAGAGCAATTCTAGGGTGTCCTTATCACAGGCTGAGGCCAACTCACTCCCCTGAGATAGTGGTGTGACTGGGTGGCTGGGAGCAGGAGCTGAGGCACATTTGTCCACTCAGGCCCTGTTGTTACATTCTGGCTCCAGGCCTTACACACAGGTGGTCTCCTCCTGGAACACCCTGGTGTGAGTAGGGAGTGGTGGTGTAGCCCTGAGCATTGCAAGCCAAGAGCAGACTAAGTTCTCTCCTTGATGTTCAGAGCTGAACATAATGACTTCAGTGGCCAAGCCCCTGTCTCCCTGAAAGAGCCCTTGGAGTTGCCCTGGGCCAAGGTCTCACTTTGCAGAAGGAGAAGGATGTTTGTTTTGGTGGTGTATTCATCAGTCTATAGATGGTCAGGTGGGAGAAAGTTACCTGTCTCAGCTTGTTGTTCGAGCCCTCAGCACCTGCTCCTCAAGTTTCCCATGTGAATGGGAGTCTATAGTGCCTGAGCTACCTTGTGCCTCCCTCCCCACTGTTTACTCCCAAATCTTCCCCAGTTAACTTTCCCTAGTGATGCTGTCTGTCAAGCCAGATACCCCCAGACCTTTGAGTCTCTCCCCTGGGGACTGGCCTCTGCTCCTGAGGGGCAGCTGCAATTGATGACTAGACCTTGTGGCCTCAACAGAAGAGCCTCCCCTGGGTCTGGGTAGATCTTTTTTTTGTTTGTTTTTGAGAGAGTGAGAGAGTGAGAGAGAGAGAGAGAGAGAGAGAGATCAAGTTGTTGTTCCACTTATGTATTCATTGGTTATGTCTTATATGTTAACTGACTGTGGATCAAACCTGCAGCCAGGGCATAGCAGGATGATGCTCTAACCAACTGACCTAAGCAGACAGGTCGGTTCTTTGCTTTTTCACTTTTCTCATTCTATTGTTTCTTTCTACTAGTTTGTAATTTATACTCATTACATATGTATATATTTTTTGACTGAGGACCCTAGTATTTTAATGTGCATAGTTAATGTTTAAAGTAAATCAATGCTCGTACAGAGTAGTGATACTAAATATATATATGACTATTGGAATGGCACTATAAATTAATATATCAATCTATACATCATGCACTGCTTGACTACAGGGATGCATTCTGAGAAATACATATTTTGGCAATTTTGTAATTTTGCAAACATCATGGAGTACATGTACACAAACCTTGATGGTATAGTCTACTACACAGCTAGGTTTTAGGGAATGCCTCCCTGGTATATGTGGCCTGTCATTGACGAACTGCCATTATGTGGTACATGACTGCAAATAAAATATTAAAAATATATCTCCCTGAATTATCTAAATAAACTATGCACTCTGGTTTCTCTTCAGAAAGGACAAATCGTTCACCTTTTACTAAATAAACTATGCATATCATAAACTGATATATGCTATAACATGAACTGTTTAATAAATCATCCTATCATAATTAAATAAAGTTCCTATCTGAGTCCTGATTGACAGGGGAACTGCATCAGGTCCTTCTCACTGTGTCACTAAGTTGCCAGGCATGAGGCGTCTGGCAGTCAGCACTGGCTGGCTGTGCATCTGATGTCTCTCATGGCCTGGACTGGACAGCCTGAGCGGCAGCCCCTGCCCCCAACACTGCTCCTGCTGCCTATGGGCTCAGACTCTGCTGCCCACCCCAGGGGAGGAGCAGAGATGCTGCCTCAGCCACCCTGTCTGTGCTGGCACAGGCACAGGCTCTGTTTTGTGCCTCTGTGGGCAACACTGGGCATTGTTGTCAGGTCACTTGTGGTCTCCAGAAACTGGAGGATTCCTCTTTCCTGATGAGTCCAGAAGTATTTCAGCATTTTAACCGGGAGGACAGGGGTAGTGCTGCCTTCATCTCCTTGTGAAAGACACTAGGACCTTCGGCCGCTTCAGCACTCTTACTTGCTGTTGGTGTTGGCTTTTAGTTCTCTCTCTTTTGAAATCCCCTCCACATCAGACGATCTTACTGTTGCTTTATTACCCAGTCTTTGGTTTGGTAGATTTACCCAGATGTACTTCAGTGTATTTGCTAATCATTTCATCTTGTGTCTCATACCTTCCACGTGGGATAATTTTTTTTTATTGAGGTACATCATGTAGAATTTCCTTCAGTGAAAATTTGTTTGTGAAAAGCGATCTTGATTTTAGTGTTGTAAATGTCTTTTACCCTCTTTTTTTTTAGAAAAAATTTTCTGTGCTTCTAATTCTTGATTGACAGTTACTTTTTCAGTACTTTGATGATATAATTGTATTGTTTTCTGCCTTCTATTGTTGTTCCAAATAATTTGTCATCCTAGTTGTAGCACCTTGCTTGACAGTCTTTCTGGCTGCTGTTAAATCCTGCCTTAGGTGTTTGTATTCTGTCAATTAACATCAGTGGGTCTAGTGCTGATTTCTCTCTTTCTCTTGCTTTGGATTTTTGTGATTTTTCTTTCTCAGAAATCACATCTTTCAGCACCTGTAGAAATCTTAGTAATTTTCTCTTAGAATAGTACTTCTTCTCCATTCTCTCTATAATATCCTTCTGGAATTCTGATTATATTTATGTTAGATCTCACTGTAGCTTTCCTGTAACTTAATCTTTTCTTATTGATGCTTTATCATATTTTTGTCAATGTAGCCTGTTTTCAAACTTGATTTATCATCATTAATGGTTTTTGCTTCTTGCTTATATTTTATAGATTGTTTTTTTAAACATAAGAGTCATACTTATTTTGCGTTCTCCTTTTGATCATTTAAATGTGTGAAGTGTTTATGGGACTCGTATCCAGTACCTGAGGTTTCTGTTGTTTCTCACTTATGATGCCTTGTTCCCTGTTTACAAGGTTTTGCCTGAGAGCTTTAATTTCTTTGGAACTTTAGGAAGTCTTTGTAGGTGATAGGGAGGAATAACCCTTTGTGACTACATCTTCTAATTGAATACCCCTGTTCTGTGGCTGGAGCTTTGAAATGGAGTCTGGTGACGCTGTTTCTTTTCTGTAGCTGTGGCAGTACCAATGGCTTCCCATTTGTTGAGAGTCTCCAGGGACCCCATCCTTTCTTGTTCGTTTATTTAGCCTTACTTTGTAAATAGTTTTGTCTTTGGAAAGTCTCTTTGAAAGTCTCAACTGAGTATGTCATATGTTTCCTGCTGGGACTCTAGTGATAAAATCTATGCAAAGAAAACTTAGTAAATGGTGGTTATCATTGTAATTGAGGAGACTACTTTCTTTTTAATTTAAAAAATTGTAAATAGTTGAATTTTATTGCATTTTTCATTACCATTTACACACCTTCTACCCTCTTCTACCTCCACCCACCTTCCTACTGCCTGTGAAGAGATTACTTTCTAATCAGGTAAAATTTCAAGTAACTCGGGCAACAATAATTATGATGCTTGGGGATGAAATATTTCAAAAAAGATGTGCCCAGAGCAGCATGGAATGAGAGAGAAAGCTGTCTGAACTTCTATAACCCTCCCTCAGTCTAATAAAGACACAAGCTCCAACCTTCAGGACATCGCCAAGTGAGGCCATTTGAAGCCCATTCTCACCACCATCACCTGCCCTCCACACCCTTGCTTGCTCACCTTGGAGATCTACAAAGTGAGGGAGGTATACAGCTGCCACAGCCCCTGGTTCAGCCTTGATGTCAAACAGAGGCCCTGCCACCATCCAGCTGTGTTGTGGGACAATCCAGCTCATGAACTCTTTCCAGGCACAGAATTCAATCTCAATGGTCACTGGCCTTCTCACCACAAAGTGGAGACCCGTATCGGGCCAGTGGTAGGATCCAGCCATGGGGAAGTGAACTCTGGGAGAACAGGGAGAGGTAGTCAGTGAATTACTCACTCTACACAACCTCACTGAGTACTTACTAAATGCCCGACCCCATGCATGGCCCTGTGTGTCCAGCAGAGTGGCTGCAAGCTCAGATACCATAATCAGAGGGATGTGGGTTTGAGTCCTGGCCCCTCTGCTCTCTACTGTGGATCCCTGAGCAAGTCATTGATGTCCCTCATCTCATTTTCTAATGTGTAAGGAAAGTAAGAATAGCGCCACCTCCTGGAGTTGTGAGTGATAAGTGACCTAATGTGTGACAGCTACTATGTGCCTGGGCGGTGTTAGCTGTTCCTCTAATGGTGATGGGAGTGATAATAATATAATAATAAAATAGGAAAGAGTTATTGTTATTAAAGGGCACATTTTTCTATTATTAAAGCAGTTTATATGGTGTATAAATGATAACCACTTGAAGCATAAAGAAGCACTATAGAGAGATCATACACTTCAGGTATAGAGTGGGTCCCTGGATGTCAACTTCTGTGTGTGTAAGTTGGGGGTAATATGTCACCCAGCTGGAATCATGTCTGTGACAGTGAATGCCACTGTGTTATCTGAGAGATGGGGACTAAGATTATAGATGTTTATTACCTATGACTGGGAACCCTTGGGAGGCAAGCCAGGGCTCCTTGTTACTGGTATACTTTACACATAGTGGATATTTATATAAAAAGAACATATAGCTAGAATGAGATTTAAATGAGATTTATGAGACATAGCAAACCAAATACAATGAATGGACTTTCTTTGAACCCTGATTGGAAGAGACCACCTCCAAGGACACATCTTGGACAACTGAGAAGATTTGAATACAGACTGGGTATTAGATGACAGGGAAATAACTTGTAAACATTGTCAGATATGATAATGGTGTTGTGCTTATGGAAGAAAAGTGCATCACACAAAATATTTAAGGAAAAAATCACCCAATAACTTATATTTAAAATACTATAGGAACAAAATGGGGACAAGTGAACAGTTGAAAGAAATATGGTAAAATGGTTGTTGGAGATGAGTAATTGGTAAGTGGAACTTTTTTGGATTTTATTTTTGTGTTTTTTGCAACTGTTCATAATAAAACCTCCTTTTTCATAATAAAATCGCCAACTCAGTCCGCTGGGCAATGGGAGGGGACCCAATGGCCATGAGGGGATGTGAAGTGTCTATTGGGATCTAGTGTGGGGAAGGTGGGGGTTGAGGTAGACTATCTTGGCAGAGCAAGTCCCCTCACTCACCGGTATAGACTCCTGTCTTTGTCAACCACCTCTGGAGCCACAGGCTCTTTTGGGCCCCAGAAGTCATCTTCAGTCCCTGCAGTCTTCACTGGTAGGTCACCCAGAGGTTCAGGAGAAGACAGACAGAAGGATTCCACCTGTGCTATGTGAGGGGAGCTCCCCTCTGGAACAGCAGGGTGGTGGTCAGCTGTAGGTTCTCCTGTCTGGCCTCCCCCACCCACCAGTCTCGACCATGGAAGGCCCTTCCCAAGGTGGGTTTGCCTGGACCTTGGCAGGCAGTGTGTCTGGAGCCTGTGTCCCTGCTCCTGGGGCAGCCTGCCTGCTGTCTGAGGAGGCTCAATTCTGCTGCTCTCTGACAACGCCCTGCCACCTCCCCCTTCCCACTGGTCGAGGTATTGCTATTCCCAGCACCCACCAGGAAGGTAGCTTGTGAGAGAAACATGGGTATAAAATGGATGGCCAGGGATGAAGAGGGCAGTCCCAGGTCTCAGAAGCCCAGCGTGGGCCTTGGGAGACTGGGCCCTGGTCAGAGTCTGAGACATGCCAGTGATGCCTGGACAGGAGGGGCCTCAGTTCCTGAGGCTGGGAGAGAGGGAAGCAGAGATCTTGCAAGGTTTGCATAAGGTGGGGCCATCCTGGGAACATTTCATCATGTCCTACACCAGAGGAAGGGGGATGGAGGAAATGACCTTCCATATCTCTTCACCCCTTGTCCCAGTTAGTGATGCTCCCAGCCTGGCCCCGTCACAGTACCTGATTCTGGTGTCTGCCATTTGAGTGGGGGTGTATCTTCACATGTCTGCTCTCTACCTGGAGCCTCATTACGGGTCTTCAGTTCTTCTGTTCCGCACAGAAAGTAGGTCATGTTCTCTGAGCTCTCAGAGGAAGCTGCATCAATGCACTGGGAAGGACTCTTCGGCCAAACCAGGTCCAGGACTCCTGTAATTATTTTACTTCTTCCTATTATGGCTTTCAAAAAACTACTGAATCCACCAGGAGCCGATGTCTGTACCTTAGCTTCAAGCTGAGGATTCTTCTGTTTCAGGTCCCTCAGCATCTTTTTCACTTCCTCACTCAACTTGGTTTCATCTAGGCTGCAAGCACAAAGGAAGCCTGGTTATCCTGGGACCCCCACATGACTTCATGGTCCTTAGAAACCAGAATCATGGAATCATCCACCTCCCACAGGAACTTGTTGTAGGTTGGGTTTCCCAAAATCAGGTTCTTAGGTGAAAAATAGTGTTAGGAGATTTATTAGGCATGTCCCTGGGTCACCCACAGGGCAAAGGAAGGGAAGAAGCAGGACTGGGCAGAGAGAGAAGTTGGGCTTTGATGCAGTCTGTAGTGACACAACTGACTCTGCAGGACTTCTGATGTGGGGGTGACCCTCCAGAGCTGCTCCATACTGGGAGGAGGGGTGGGTCTTTACATCCCAACACTGATTGGATGTAGGTGACCCCAGGAATTGGAGGTGAGCTTGTGTGAGATGGCCCCAGTTGTGAGAGGCCATCCCTGTAGCCTGCTGCTGAAATACTCCCAGGGCCTGTGGTTACATCTTCATTCCTGGAAGGGAAGTGGGCAGCAATTCACAGCCGCCACCAGAGGACAGCCTGTCCCCATGGTTTCAAAATGACCACAGATGAGTAGGAGCAGTAGTATACTTTGTAGAGTCTAGAAGATTTTCTGGAAAGAGAGAGCCCTGTTCCCATTCTCACAGGCCTTATGTCCTGGGGTGTCGATTGGGTTTGGGAGCTGCTGCCCTTTCTGGGTCTCCACGTTCTCATCTCCAACAGGATGGACCTGCTCTGCCTATTTTGAGCCATGGTCACAGATGTGAGAAGACCCTGCTCCCTGTAAAGGGTACACACTGTACTCATTACTCCTGTCAGAGATGCTTTCCCCTGGGAAGAGCGTGGGGCCACGATGTAGTATGGGGTCCATCTCATCAAAGTCCTGGGGCTCTAGGAAGGAAGGAGGAGACTGAAACCTTTCCAGGATGTCCAAGACCGAGCTGTGCTGAGGCCACAAAGAGGTGACAAGTAACTGGTGAGCAGGGCGATAATGCAGAAGTACTTCATTCAACATACAGGGGTGGTGGCAGCCATAAATGCCCAGTGGAAAGGGGTGGGGGGGTGAAGGTGCCAGCCCCATGGACTGAAGCTCCCTTGGGTGTGAAGGGTCAGAGAGGTTTGGGGGGACCTACATGTAAAATATTTCACCCCTGTTATCCTGCCCCTCTTTCTGCTCTATGTTTGAGAAAGTGGGCCCCGGAACAGGAAAGGCCGAGGGCTCGAGCTTTGCTGTCCTCTCTAGAGCCAGCAACTAGAGCCTCAGTCAAGACCTCAGGGTCAGGATGTGAGGTTTAGAGCCCTGGCAGCTCTGAGAGTGTGTGATGGGGCCCCAGCCAGAGTCACAGGGAAATGTTGCCAGAAACAGCCTGTGGGCTTGTTTTCAGGCTGGGGAGGAGAGAGGAAGAGGCCAAGAGGCAGTGTGGGAATGAGGGTGGGGGTTCCCTGTTCTGCCGCCACACAGGGCTCCAGGGCTCTGAGCCTGTGTCTGTCCTGGGGTCTTCCCAACGCTCTGCTCTTTGCCTGGACTGCGGCCCCTGCCTGGGCCTGGTCAGCTGCTGTTTCTGCTTCAGGTCTCAGACTGATGTCACTCCCCAGAAAGCCCTCCCTGCCCCTTAGTCTAATTCCTTCTCCTCTCAGGTCACACTCTCATAACACAGTGCATGTTCCCTTCACAAACTCCACAGGGCTTAAAAATGCACACTGTGTGTTAATATGTGGTTATCATCTCGTTCCCACTGGAGTGTCTGCTTTAGGAGAGCAGGGCATGTGTCTGTTGCTTGGCATACAGGAGATATCCAATGAATGAATGAATGAATGAGGCAATGAAGGAAGGAAGGGAGGACTGCCCTGGAGTGTGGAAGTGAACCTGGGAGTCCCCTAGAACATGTGACCTCACTAGTGGTTATCATTTGATGCTATCAACTCTGTTTTGAGAACTATCCTGGTTTTACATGCATTTCATCACAGTCTATGAGGTGGGTATGAGGTTCCATTATACGGATGAGGAGATCGAATCTCAGAGGAAGACATGGCCACGTCTCGTGTTCTACGCAAATGGGGGAGCTAGTATGGAACACAGGCTGACAATTCATTTTTCTGTCCCTTTACTTCCTGTCTAATTCAGGGCCCCACATCCCTTTCCATTCCTTTCCCACCCCTCCATGCCCTCTGCGGTGCAATGGACCCTCAGGGCCTTACCGCAGCAGCCTGACTTGGTCAGTATAATGTCCGAGGTTCACACACAGGAGTTGCACGCCGAGGTCACCCAGGTCATTCTGCCTCAGGTCCAGCTCTCTCAGGCTGGGGCTGACACTGAGCATGGAGGCCAGGTCCTGGCAACAGCCAGATGTTAGGCCACAGTTGACAAGCCTGTGGGAGAGATTTGCATGGGCCCATCGTCATCATTTGCAAGGCCCTCTCCTCAGGGTACCTGGGACTAGTTTCCCTTTCTAGTAACTGTGGCTCTTTGGGGGGTCTTTTGTGATATCAAGCAAAGACAAAGATGCATCTGGCTTCAAGAACCTGGGGGATTTTAACTTTCTCCTCCAGCCAAGGAGCCACAAAGGATGCAGCTAGTCACTGTTCCTCCCTCCTGTGTGACTCTCACCAACCTTGCTACTCCCCATATCAACTTTGTACAACTAATTTACCTAATGTTCCACTTGCACACTGGGTCTAATTTTAAACTACATCAGCCCTGCCATATACCCACTTAGCTGACATGGGATGCTTTGGTGTGTTTCAACATGAGGGCATCTACCTGCTCCCCACCCCATCACCTCATCCTGCCTAGCTCTCACTTTCTCTCTGCCCCATCCCCAAAGTAGTGTCAGTGAGGAGCAATTACAGCAGTTGGTGCAGCTTGCAGCTGGACTTTGTCAGCTTCTGGAAAAGGTGCTGGGCCCCGGTGTCCAGGATCTTGTTGAAGCTCAGGTCCAGCTCAGTCAGGCTCCTGTTGGTGCTCAGCCCACAGGCCAGGTCCTGGCAGCCCTCTGAGTTGAGGCCACAGTCAGCCAGCCTGTGGGAGAAATGCACTGATAGCCTTGAGTTTGTTCACTGGTTGACTCTATAGTACAAACACCCACTAGCACTCACTGGCACCTCTCTGGGTCAGGCAGAGGTAAGACCCCAGACCCACCAAAATCACATGTACTGGGGGATGACATAGAAACAAAAACAGTGGATCAGTTCTCAGGTCTGTTTTGATCAAAAGCCTTCCATGTTTCTGTGTCTTTGGAGTTAAATTCAAGGTCCTTGTGTTTGACTGTGGGACACTTGAGGTCTGGCTTCTTGTCATCCCTGTTCTCATCTTGTATCCTTCTTTATCTGCATCCTTGCTGACTTCTTTGCTGTTCCTTAACCACTCAAGCTACAGTTCCATCTCAGGGCCTTTGCACCTGCTGTTTCTTCTGCCAGGAACAATCTTCTCACCTGATATCTCACAGCAGTGTGTCCTCTCACCTGCTTCAGGAATTTGCTAAAAAGCTCCTCTGGGGAAACATTGCTTCATGGTCCTTCCTGTTTAGAATTGCAACCCCAGCCTCCATGCCTTTCTGCTCTACTTTCCACTATACCCCAAATCACATGCAATGTATTTTACTTATTTATTTGCTTTTTGGTTTTCTTCACCAGTGGATGTTCCATGAGGAAGTAGTTTCATTTTAGTTGTACCCAAGTATGCACGGCAGGTTTTGCACATAGTAGGATCTTAGTAAGTATGTGGTTAATGAGTGAGTGAAATAGAGTGAAGAGGGGTATGTTGGGTGCTGCTGAAGGCAGATGGATGAACAGTGACTTTTGAACAGGGAAGGAGAAGCAGACATATGAAAGGTGCCTTGAATGGCGGGAAGGAGTTCACCTAGATGAGGTGGAGGGAGGGGAGTCTTTGGGCTGACAGGGTGGATATGAACTTACAGCCTGTGTTTAGTGATTTGTCAGAAAGGCTTCCTGAGGGGAGATGAAGTGTAAAGACAGAAAATACCAAGATGGTGGTAGGTCTGGAATGTGCTTACTAGATGTGTGGATGTTGTTCAGGTGGCAGTGATGAGCCAGTGAAAGTTCTTGAGGAGGGGTAGTCCTTGCATTGCTTGGGAATGACCCCTGATGGGGGTGGAGGATGGTTGCTGGGGTGAGGCAGGAAGTAGGTGGTCCATGTGGGAGTGGATGAGCACTGAGGTCAGAGCAGTGCCTGTGGGACATGTTTCTGTGGCCCCAACAGCACTTAGTGCCCCTGTAGATGTGGGGGCAGAGAGGCTTCTGGAGTGGGTGCAGAGCTGGTACTGCCACTAGATACTGTGAGAACCAGTGTGAGAGGAGGCAGTGTCAGCTTCATGGATGTACAGCCTGTGCAGTTGTTGGGGATTATTGCTTTGTGTTTGCCATCTTGAGTTCCTTTATTTTATGTGTGAATTTGTGTTTTTTAAGTGAATTGTGATGGGACAATGGAGCTTTGTGTCACATATGTCCCCATCTCTTGCCACCTCCCTCCTCTGCAGGAAGAGTACTTGGTCACCCACTTCCCTGTCCCTTGATGCTTGGGGCCCTGGATAGCCTTCTCATCAGGCATGGTGAGGATCAAGGCTGGCTTTGGAGTAGGGCTTGGTGACAACAGCGTTGCATGAGTTAGTGATTCTGGGGGCAAGTCTTTTGTCTGCTATGATTCATATACTTAGTGCGTCATGGAAATCCCTGGGAGATGATGAGTCTCGCATGTGCCTTAAGTTTGAATGGTGTCTTTGGCAGTCTTCTGTCTATTGTGGTTTGGGCTGATGGGTCCATAGAAGGAGGAGAAGTCTAGGGCATGGTACATGTGTCTGGGCCTAGTGGGAAGAGAAGTCTAGCATGTGTTTGGCTGTGGTCACAATGACTTGTGAGTAGGGCCCTCAGGCACCTGAGAAGGTCTGTGTGCACTGCAGCATGACAAAGGGAGGGCAGCTTTAAACAGCAAATAAAAACCACCATGTGAGATAGCAAGAAACTGGAATGGAAGGAATAAGACTTTTTGTGTTAGTACCTTTAATGGCACATTGTTTCTGATGTTTGAGCAAGGGCACTGCATGCTCATTGTGCACTGGATCCTATGATTATAGTTAGTCCTTAGAGGAGAAACAGGTTTTTCTTTGTTTATGGAGGAAAGTCAAGTTTAGAATACACTAATTTTGAGGAGCCTCTGGGTACATCCCAGAGGAGGGTATGGGTTTGGGTCCTGAGTGGAAGATGGAGACTTGGCAGGTTCCCACTGGATGAAGCATGGGATGCGATTGTGGGAAGGGCTCCGAATGAGGTGGAGGACACTGAAATTGGGACCTAGTTACTCTACTCTTGGTTATACGTCACACAGATTTGGTGTCAATCTTGCATTTGACAGTCACTGTTTGAACCTAGGGCAGATTTCTTCATCTTCTGGTTTACTGATCTGTAATACAAATTCACCAGCCCATTGCACATGGTGGTTGCCAAGGTCAAAGGAGATAATTTATCCTATGTACTTAGCACAGTCCTTAAAGGATGTTGCTGCCATGGGACCAGAGTCTCTTGCTTTCCTTTTGTATCTTCATCCTGATTTCACACAGCCCCATGTCTCAGTTTTCATGCAGCCCTTCTCTTTTCCCTCTGTCCCCAAGGAGGCCAAGTTTCTTCTATCCAGTGTCTTTGATTCCATGTCCTCCTGCCTCTGCTCTGACCTTGCTCTATCTGGAATCCCCTCTTTCGGATCTCTAATCTTTCCCTTACCAGTTCCTTTAGTTTTGTCCATGTGCTGAGCTCAATGTTTTATGTTTATTAAAAGCACCTAGAATATTTCCATCTACCATACTTAACTTATTTCAAGAGAAATCCAATAATTAGTGAGGACTTTGACAGAACGTCTTAGACACTCTTACATCCCATGACAGTAAATCTTTGTGTTCTTTGATACAGATTCAACTTTTCTACTTTTCTAATGAGGAAATATTCACATCTACCTGACCCAGAGTTAATATTCTTATGAAAAATACTTTTTCTTACACTACCTCATTATGTTACCATGAATTAGTTACTAGCTTTTCTGATGAAAAGTTGGAGGCAGTGCTTCAGTGTGCATTCACTGAATTCTAGTTTTAGCCCTTCCACTTACTTCTTTTTTTGAAAGATTTTATTTATTTATCTTTAGAGAGAGGGAAAGAGAGGTGGAGAAACATTGAGCTCTGGCTTCTCACATGCTCCCTACTGGTGACCTGGCCAGTAACCCAGGCATGTGCCCTGACTGGGAATCCAACTCATGACCTTTTCATTCCCAGGCTGGCACTCAGTCCACTGAGCCACAGTAATCAGTGCTATTCTTTTTGTTTTTATTTTGAGAAATTGTTTATTAAAGCTGGGGAAGGTGAAACAAAAGGAGGGCTTGCACTACAAGAAGCAAGAGCAGAAAGCCTAGAGGGGCTGCTTTGGCTCTCTGGAAACATTAGGGGGAAGAAGTGAGCCAAGGAGGAGCTGCTGTCAGCTCACTGGAGAGTCAGAGAAAAATGAGGCCTTGGAGACAAGTTCAGGGAGTTAGCCCAAGATCAGCTGCTGCTGCCCATTTCTCCCCTGATTGTAAGTCTCATGGAGACCCTTACAATTAAGATGAAAGAAAGAAGTTCATGCCTGAGAAAAGGTGTGTGCATATTTCAGAGACAGAGCCTGCCCAGCCCTCCCACTTTCACTTGTGTAAATTTGGGCAAATCAGTTAAACCCCCTTCAGTTCTTATCATCTGCAAAATGTAACTAATTGTCTCTGCTCTGCCATTTTCACAGGTCTTTTTTTGAGGCCCGAGAATGTATTCTTTGGAGTAGATACAGAATTGATATGAAGATTGTGAGGTTCTGTTGCTATATAAGCAGTACACTGTAGATTGGTGTCTTCCCACTTGGGTGTGAAGTTCAAGGTAGAATCAGGATTTCTGAGACCTTCTCAAAGGCCTTTCTTCCTGGATTCAGGTGGTTCTCACTGGAATGGTTTTAGGCAAGGTGGCACAGCCTCAAGTAGTTATTGGAGGTCCCAAAGCCTAGATTTATTTTCTTTAAGTTCATGTCTTTTATGAGCCCACATACAATTACTTGTCTTCTGGTTTGTTGAGGCAATGCACCAGACAACATGTGCCACAATAATGTCTTTCCAAGTGGCTGGCTACAAACAATCCATCACCACATTCATCTGAAGGGCTCTGCTGACCTATGTGACTAATTTCTCCATTATTTTCCACTTCATAGTGTTTCAGGACTGCCAGCTTAGCCTTCTTCCTCTTATGCTAATTCTTCCCAGGACTGGTGTAAGACTTCTTTTTTTCTTTGTTAGCACCACCACAATCTCAATAGAAGCTGAAGAGTGGACTCCTTTTGAATGCTGTAGTGAAAGTACGTCCATCTTCCAGTTGCTTGCCAGCAAAGATCAGTGTTTCTGATCAAGAGAAATTCCATTCTTATTCTAGATCTTGGCCTTTACATTTCTATTGTATCTGAGTGTTCAACCTCAGGAGCCATGGTCTTCCCCATAAAGGTTTATATGAAAATCTGTTTCTAGGTGGCGATTCCACTGCAGATGGTGGATCAGAAAAGTCAAAGCCTGGATTTGCCACCATCTTCTGCTTGCTCAACTTCTTCTACCTAGTCCTTCTTCAGTGAGCAATTGCTTTACACTCTCCTTTCTTCTAAACTTTTCACACTTCCTTTTCTTCACTAGGAGCCTAGCTTGCATTCTGTGATCTATCATTAGCAATATGGCTGAATGACTTACCTTCTGACCTCCTATCATATCCCTCTAGCTAACTCCCACCTCTGCCCTTCTCCCACTCTCCCACTCTCACTCCCACCTGAGTAACAAGGGCAGGAGCTGTAAGCTGCAAATAGACATAGTTTCAATTTTTCCTTTGTAATGCAGATAACTTTTATTTTATTCTCTTGACTACTTTTCTGGATACAGCCCCCAGTGTAATGTTGAATAAACAGGGGCCAAGTGAAAGTTCCTAATCTTAGAGGAAAGTATTCTTTCAGTAATAAGTGTAATGTTAGTTGTGGGATTTTCATTAGTGGTCTTTATTAGGCTGAGAACGTTCCCACGTTTTCCTCATTTGTTGAGTGTTCTTAATGTGAAAACGTGTTGGAGTTTTTCAACTACTTTTTTATGTCTATTGAGATGATCATTTAGCTTTTGTCCATTATTCTTTTAACATGATGTATTGGATGGATTGAGTTTCCTGGGTTAAATTGACTTTGCATTCTTGAGATAAGTTCAAGTTGGTCATAATTTACTATTCTTTTGATATGTTTTTCACATTTTATTGAGGATTTTCATATTTGTATTCACAAGAGATATTGGCCTGCAGTTAATTTTAATACCTTGTGATGCCTTTGCCTTTGTTTGTCTGCTTTGATAGCAGGGTAATGCTGCCATCATCAAATGAGTTGGAAAGTATTCCCTCTTCTATTTCTGTCTTTCTTTTGCAGAGTTTGAGAATATTGGTGTTAATTCTTCTTTAAATGTTTAGTGGAATTAATCAATGAAACCATATGCAAATGGGCTTTTCTTTATAGAAAGTTTCCTCCCTCCCTCCCTCCCTCCCTCCCTTCCTTCCTCTAATTCAATCTCCTTACCTGTTAAAAGTTTATCTAGATTTCCTAAATCTTCTTTTGTCAGTTTCAGTAGTTTTCATTTTTCTATGAAAAGGTCCATTTCATTTAGGTTATATAATTTGTTGGCTTAACATATTTTATAAAGTTCCCTTTAACTCCCTTTAAAATTTTTCTATGAGGACAATTGTGATGACCTCTCTTTTATTCCTGATATTAGTAATTTGCATGATCTCTGTTTTTACCTAGGCAGTCTAGCTAAACATTTGTTAATTTTTCTGATCTAGGCAAAGAACTAACTTTTGGTGTCATTATTTTCTGTATTGTTTTTGTGTTTTCTGTTTTATTTCTTTCCAGTCTAGGTTATATTATTTTGTTTGTTCAGCTTGCTTTTTGTTATATTTGCTCATTTTATTGTTGTTTCTTTTGATTCTTAAAGTGGAATGTTAAGTTATTGATTTGAGATTTTTCTTTTCATGGTCTCTCCCTCTACCATCTTCATCCTTCTTTGTTAAATACATGATTTTTTAAAAGAACTGTGTCATTTCTTGAGAAAAATTTGGGCAGAAACTACATATCTCTACCCCCACATACACAGCCTTCCCCAATACCATCATTGGGCATCAGAGCAGAACATTTGTTGCAATCAGTGAACCTACATTGACACACCATAAACACCCAAAGTTCATAGTTTCCTTTTGTTGTTTTATATTCTATCTTTTTTATATCCTCACCTGAGGACATTTTTCATTGCTTCTTAGAGAGAGATGATATGAGAGAGGAAGGGAGATAAAGAAATCTCAATATGAAAGACATCATTGATTGGTTGCTTCCACAATGCCCCTAGACCAGGGATTGCATGTCCCTGGACTGGGAATGGAGCCCACAGCCAAAGTATGTGCCCCGACAAGGAATTGACCCTGCAACCTTTCAGTTACAGGACAATGCTCCAACCATTTGAGCCACACTGGCCAGAGCTATATTCTTTGGTTTTAAACAAACATAAAATAATATATACCAACCATTATACTGTTATACAGAATAGCCACTATGTTGTGTCTATTCATCCTCACCTCCCCCAAATCCTGTCAGTTGCTAATCTTTTTACTGTCTTCATATCTTTGCCTCTTAAAGAACCTCACATTGTTGCAATCATACAGTATGTAGCTTTTCAGATTGTCTTTTTTTTTTCACCTAGTAATATGTGTTTAAGTTTCCCCCATATTTTTATAACTTTATGGATTATTTTTTTCTCCACACTGAAAAAATATTCCATTGTATGAGTGTACTACAGTTTATTTACCTGCTAACTGAAGGATAGATTGGTTGCTCTCTAGTTTTGGCAATTACAAATAAAGCTGCTGTAAACATTGGTGTGCAGGTTTTTGTGTCAACATGGGTTTTCAACTCATTGGGGTAAATACTTAGGACCATGATTGTTGAATAACATGGTAAGGCTGTGTTTACTTCTGAAGGAATCTGCATAGGGGCCTTGTCATTTTACATTCTCACCAGCAATGTATGAGGGTTCTTGTTTCTCCACTAACTTGTCAGCATTTGGTGTTCTGTTCTAGATTTTGGCCATTCTAATGGGTGTGTATTTGTATCCCTTCTTCTTTTTATAATCTTGGCATTGATGTTTATTCATGTCTCTCTAAGCACTAATTTGGCTTATTAGGTAAGTTTTAGTATATTATGTTTTTCTTTTCATTCATCTCAAAACATTTTTAAATGTCCATTGTGAATTCTTCATTGATGCATTATTTCTTTATGAATATGTTGTTTCATTTCTGTGTATTTGTGAATTTCCTAAATTTTCTTCTGTTATTAATTTCCTAATTAATTCTATTATATTCTGGGAATGTAATTTATATGATTCAAGTTCTTTTAAATTTGTTGAGATTTACTCTATGGGGCATCTCATTTTTGTATAGAGCTTTATTTGATACAAGCTTGACTATACCATTTGGATAGCTCAAAAAGGCTTGAAATAACATGCACAAAATCCCACCCATGCCATCCTACCCCTCACCCACTCCTCTGCCAGTATTTCCCATCTCAGTGAAGGTGCCACCATCCCATGCATTCCTCTGGCCTGAACCTAAGATCTCCTTTTATGTCTCCATCTTCCTTGGTCTACAATTATAATCTATTACTCAGTCTGGCTGATTTCACATTTTTCTGCTAACCTCTTAAATTGATTCACTTCTTTCCATTTCTGTGGCCAACACTGTTATCTCAGATGCTACCATTTCTTGTGGGAACTCTTACAGTGTCTCTTCCTGCAAGTTCTCACCATCTTTACAGGAACTACTGAATTTTGCTATGAACTGGCTTCCCAACCTCTACTTTTGCTGTCCTCTATTCCATTTTTCTTACTGCAGTCTGTTTCTACTTTAAATATGTACTGATCTGATGAAACTTTTGACTATAATCATATTGTATTAAAGAAAATACCCCCAGATTCCATCGGGGCCTTGCATAGAGGGTCTGGCTGCATGATCCCGGTAGCCCCTGTTGCTTCTTCGCTCTCCATCCTCCAGCCTCACTGGTCAGCTTTCAATTCCATGAAAGACCATCCTCCTTTCTACCACATGGACTTTGAACTTTATTCCCTCCTGCTTCACTTAGGTAAATTCTCCATATTTTTCAGCTGTCCTTCAATATTCACTTTCTTAAGGTCGTTTTCACGAAAGGCCCTTATCTGGGCCTGTAAGCACACATGTGTTTGTGTGGATAATGGTAATCACCTTCAAGCACTGTGAAGATGGAATCCTGTGTTTGCTCACTATAGTACCCTTGGCCCCTGGCATAGTACATGGCCAGAGAGGGGCTCAGAGAATGTTGAATACAAAGACCACACCCCATTCTGCACTCAACTTCTATCTTGAATCTCCTCTCCATCCCTGTTTCTGAACAGAACCGGCCCAAACTCACCTCAGGGTCTCCAGGTGGCAGTGAGGACACTTCAGAGCCTCACAGAGAGTCTGTACTGCAGAGCAGCTCAGGAAGTTTCCACTCAGGTCCAACTCTTGCAGGCTTCCAGGGACATTGAGAATGGAGAAGAAAATCTGCCACCAGGCATTTGTAAATGGGCCCAAGCTGAACCTGAGGGGGAGAGGACCAGGAGGGATGAGAGCTGTGTTTGAGGGTGTCAGGTCATAGCCCAGAACAACACAATTGGTTTGGATCATCTGAGCACCAGTCTGCAATAGGCAGAGTGACCCCCAAGGCTCACCAGCCTCCCCAACTGCCCCTCTGCTCCCACCATACTGGGTTAGGTGGCCCTCACCTGTGTGGCTTCTCATTGTACAGCCCCTGCCATTCTGTACTGCAGTGTTCACATGGTGGGTCTGTTTCTATCTCAGTTTGGGAATTTCTTGTGGGCAGGGAAAGATGTTGTTCATTCTTTTGATCTGCAGTGCCCAGCACAGGGCCTGGCACAGAGCTAGGGCATGCAGACATTCTTCTTCTCTTCGATGCAGACCTGCCTTTCTTTCTATGGCACAGATGCTGTGAAGTTACGGTTCCCAGAAAGGAAAGGAGTTGGTGGGAGGAGGAAACAGAGTCTGGAAGTGGTGGTTTAAAGCTGAGTGTTTGATGCGAATGTTGATTATGACTATTTAAGCTGTTGTCCTGGTTTGCTTTCAAAAGACCCTTCACTTTCCATCCTCCAGCCTCACTGGTCAGCTTTCAATTCCATGAAAGACCATCCTCCTTTCTGCCACAGGGCCTTTGATCTTTCTTCCCTCCTGCCTTACTTAGGTAAATCCTTGTATTCTTCAGATGTCCTTCCATATTTGCTTTCTTAAGGTTGTTTTCATGGGAGGTCCTTATCTGGGCCTGTAAGTACACATGTGTTTGTGTGGTTAATGGTAATCACCTGTAAGCTCTGTGAAGCTAGAATCCTGTCTGTGTTTGCTCACTGTAGTAGCCATGGCCCCTGGCACAGTGCATGGCCAGTGACCCAGAGTGGGTCCTCTGTAGAGAGATGGGAAAGGAGATCATCTCAGGAGAGAACGTTTGATGATCAGCTGATCATTCCTGTGAGATTGTTAGGGTAGACTGCCTTGTAGAATTTCCACCAACTTAAATTCTACATTTTCACACATTATTTAAATGATTTCATCTACTGCCAGGGCTCAATGACACAAATACTATTTTAAGTTCCAGAGTAGCATCTTTATTTTCTTCTCAGATATCTCTACCTTGATAGCCCACCAGCTTCTTGACAAGTATAATATTTTCCCAGTTCCATTCATCCTCCCCCAGGTCTGCAGAGCTGTGCAGAAGTGAGGAGCAGAGGCTCTGGAGCCAGCTGTCAGCACATGAATTCCACTTGTCTGTGCCTCAGTCCCCTTGCTGCCAGCAGGGGACAAGAAGACCTAGTGCAGAGGGTTTTGCGAGGTGGTGAAAGTGCTTTAGAGAATTTCAAATATCTTAGTGAGGTTTCAGTGTTAATAGCTCTAAGACATATACACACTGCAATGGTACAAACCAACTTATCGTTTGAAAGTTAATTGTTTTTTGGACATTCAGTTAGTTTTGGGAAAGTTGAAGAATACTTTTTAAAACTTTCTGGTTTGCTGAATATTTGTCAACCTTAATCTTTAATGAGAGGACTGAAATTAAAAAGTAACAATCTATTACCAAAATGCACAGTGCTTAATTACAAAGCAAATATGTGAGCTGCTTATCCTTACTGTCTTGTATTGGTCCTACTCTCCCTCCCACAGCCTTGGGCCAATCTTTGTCATTTCTTCAGAAACTTCTTGCTTGTTTAGAATATCCTCCTTGCTATTATTCTCTTGCCTTGCCTGGCTGACTCTGTATCTTTTTCTTTTTTTAATTGTTGTGCAAGTACAGTTGTCTCCATTTTCACCTGACCTTGGCCCCCTGGCCCACCCATCCCCACATTACGCTCTCAAACCTACCCCTTTTGGCTTTGTCCATGTGTCCTTTATACATGATCCCCAATGAACTTTCCCCTATTTCCCCCATTATCTCTCCTCCCTGTCCTCTGGTTACTGTTAGTTTGTTCTTTAATTCAATGTTTCTGGTTATATTTTGCTTGCTTCTTTCTTTTGTTAATTAGGTTATATTTATAGGTGAGATCATATTGTATTTTTCTTTCACTGCCTGGCTTATTTTGCTTAGCATAATGCTCTCCAGTTCCATCCATGCTGTCTCGAAGGGTAAGAGTTCATTCTGTCTTCTGCTGTGTAGTATTCTATTGTGTAAATGTATCATAGGTTTTTAATCCAACTAAAATCCCCCTGCCCATATGAGCTGCAGCCTCTGACTTTCCCATGGGAGTCCCTCCAGACTCCATGTGACACCATCCATTGCAAACTCTCTTCTTCATTGTGGTGCCCTTGACTCCTCCTGCTACTCACCTCGCCTCTGCCTCCGTGCCTGCCCAGGGTACTTCCAAGGCCACCACCACTTGTGACACCTGTACCCAGGTCTTTTAAAGACCAGTTCACCTTTGTAACCATAACAACTTGAAATAACCTAAGTGCCTGAGGAAAGATAATGGTCAGATAGTTGTAGCACCTTTCCTATGGAACACCATATGCTCATTCAAATGGCATTGTATCAGGCTACTTCCTAACATGAGAGGAAAGTCTTGATATAAAAATAAAGAAATAAAGCTGACTGTAAAATAAAACATACAATATGGCTCAGTGTTGTTCTAGAAATGTGCATAAAATGAGACTAGATTATATATACCTCCATTTTTAAAACTGTATTTTATTGATTATACTATTACAGTTGTCCCAGTTTCTCCCCCTTCAGTCCCTTTCACCCAGCACCTCCCACTCCCTCAGGTAATTCCCAAACCTTTGTTCATGCCCACAGGTCATGCATAAAATTTCTTTAGCTACTCCATTTCCTGTATTGTACTTTACATCCTCATGGTTATTCATAAACTACCTATTTGTACTTCCTAATCTTCTCACTTATTTACCCATTCCCCCACATCTCCTCCCATATGGGCCCATGAAAACTTTCTCTGTATCCATGATTCTTCCTCTGATCTTCTTGTTGCCTTAGTTTGTTTTATTAGATTCAGTTGTTAGATATGTCTTAATTGGCATTTAATTTTTTTTAAATACGTCTCTTTAACATTTAATATAATGTATGAAACATTTTGGTGATGGTGGACTCCTTTAGTTTCTTCTTATCTGGGAAGCTCTTTGTCTCCCCTTCGATCCTAAATGATAGCTTGCTCAGTAGAGCTATCTTGTCTGTAGGTCCCCGCTTTTCATGACCTTGAATATTTCTTGCCAATCACTTCTAGCCTGCAAAATTTATTTTATTTTTTATTTTCTTCTACATTTTTATTATTTTTATTGATATTTGAATACAGTTGTATACATTTTCCCACCGCCACTTTCCCCATCCACCTCAACCCCCCACCCTCTATCCTGCCTGCTTTTGGCTTTGTCCATGGGTACTTCATACAGGTTCTTTGATGACCCTTTCCTTTCTTTTCCCCATTATTTCCTGCCCCCATCCTCTCTGTTTACTGTCAATTTGTTCTTAATTTCAGTGTCTCTGATTATATTTTGCTTGCTGGTTTGTATTGTTAATATGGTTCCACTTATAGGTGAGATCATATGGCACTTGTCTTTCACCATCTGGCATACTTCACTTAGCATAATGCTCTCCAGTTCCATCCATGCTGTCGCAAAGGGTAGGAGCTCCTTTTTTCTTTCTGCTGTGTAGTATTCCATTATGTAAATGTACCATAGTTTTTTGATCCACTCATTTACTGATGCATACCTCACCTGCTTCCAGCACTTGGCTATTGTAAATTGTGCTGCTATGAGCATTGGGGTGTATAGGTTCTTTTGAATTAGTCTTTCATGATTATTAGGGTATAATATCAGCACTGGAATTGCCAGGTCAAAAGGCACTTCCATTTTTAGTGTTTTTGGGAAATTCCATACTGTTTTCCACAGTGGCTGCACCAGTCTACATTCTCACCGACAGTGCACTAGGGTTCCCTTTTCTCCACAACCTGCCCAACACTTGTTATTTGTTGATTTGTTTATGGTGGCCTTTCTGACCGGTGTGAAATGGTATCTCAATGTGGTTGTAATTTGCATCTCTCTGATGGCTACTGATGTTTAGCATCCTTTCATATGTCTCTGGGCCCTCTGTATGTCCTCCTTGGAGAAGTGTCTGTTCAGGTCCTTTGCCCATTTTTTTAGTTGGGTTTTTACCAGAGGGAACACCAGATTGTGTTGATTATCAGGGCATTGTAATATAGTTTAATGTCAGGTATGGCGATCGCTCCTACTTTGCTCTTCTCTCCCAAAATTGCTGCAGGTATTCAGGGTCACTTATGGTGCCATATAAATTTTTAAAATGTTTGTTCTATATCTGTGAAATATTTCATTGGTACTTTAATAGGGATTGCATTGAATCTATAAATTGCTTTGGGTACTATGGGCATTTTAATATTAATTCTTCTAGTAAATGAACATGGTACATGCTTCCATTTATTGTGTCTTCCTTAATTTCTTTCTTCAGTGTGCTATACCTTATCAAATGCTGTTCCCACATCTATTGGTATGATCATGTGATTTTTGTCTTTTCTTTTGTTTATGTGATGTCTCATATTTATTAATTTGCAAATATTGAACCATCCTTGCATCCATGGGATGAGTCCCAATTGATCATGGTGTATAATCTTTTTGATATATTGCTGAATATGGTTTGCCAGTACTTTGTTGAGGGTTTTAGTGTCTATGTTCATCAGCGATATTGGCCTGTAATTTTCTTTCTTTGTTGTGTCTTTGTGTGCTTTGGGATTAGGATGATGCTGGCCTCATAAAAAGAGTTTGGGAGTTTTCCCTCTTCTTGGATTTTTTGGAATAGTCTGAGAAGTACAAGGATTAGCTCTTCCTTAAATCTTTTGTAAAATTCTCCTATGAAACCATCCAGCCCAAGGCTTTTGGGTGATGGGAGTTTTTTTGATTACTATTTCAATTTCATCAGCTGTTATCAGTATGTTCATGCTTTCTGCTTCTCCTTCTTTCAGTTTTGGAAGATTATATTTTTCTAGAAATGTGTCCATTTCACCTAGGTGTTCAAAT